CTCCCCACCACCCGATGTCTCTGTCTCTTCTTCTCCTAAGGTATCGTACACCAAATGTCTTCTTCTCCAAAGGTATCATTACTCCAAATATCTTCTTCTCCTAAGGTATCATTACTCCAAATATCTTCTTCACCTAAGGTATCATTACTCCAATTTTCTTCTTCTCCTAAGGTATCATTACTTCAAGTATGTTATCTTCTCCAAAGGTATCATTAAACAAAATATTTTCTCCTAAGGTATCATTACTCCAAGTATCTTCTTTTCCAAAGGAATCATTACTCTAAGTCTCTTTTCCAAAGGTGTTATTACTCTAAGTATCTTCTTCTCCTAAGGTTTCATTACTTCAAGTATCTTCTTCTTCTCCTAAGGTATCATTACTCCAAGCTGACCGGTCCCGAGCGGCTGCGAGACGCCTGCAAGGACTTCATCGTGTCAAACTTCAGCGTGGTGCTGGACGCCCACGACTGGGTGGAGATGGAGCGGGAGGAGCTGGCAGACTTTGTCGGGATGTCGGAGCTGTGCGTGGAGTCGGAACAGAAACTTTGGGAAAAGGTGGGAGGACTAAATTGTGCTTTTACCGCTGGATTCTGCTGCCCTGCTGAATTGCTGGCTTGGGTTGATGAGAAATAAATAGACATAATAGTGGTCTTTTTAGTACAAATAGAAGCGATAATGGCCATTTTTGATGACTCTAGTTCAAGTCCCGAACAGACATTGTTGACACTGGATTGTCTTCGGGGCTCTTCCCCTACTTGTCTCGAGCTTGGTGAAGGCTTTTGTGTAATTAAGAGGTCTCATTTCCTAAATGACCATACAAAATCTTGTCAAATAGACAGAAACAAGAGCATTAGGAAAATGAAAAAGCTTGACCTAACGTTTATATCCTCTGTCCATGTGCAGCCAATTTAACGCAGCTTTGGAAATTTGGACCAGAAAGCGCTTGGTCCCTGAGCATAATTTTGTGTGCTGAGGGGAAATGTTTGAGAAGGGTGAGAAAATATTGAGAGCAAAGTTATCTTGACCGGCACTGTCGTCTTTAGCTGGTTTCTATTCTATGAAGGCCAATTCTTTAGTTTACTGTGCAAATCCTTGGGGTTTGTTAACTTTTCTACTTGGACTTTAAAAATTAAAACGAGAGAAAAGGGAATGTTGGATTAGAATTTATGACTCCTCCATCTTTTATTGTCCAACAGGTGGAGCAGTGGTTAATGGCGGACAACAATGCGGAGTACAGGAGGGAAAATGTGGAAACCATCATACCTTTGCTCAGGTTTTGCAAAATGACTCCTTCCGAGCTTTTGGCCTTAGAATCTTCGCCTTTGATGCAGGAGTTTGCAGACGCGCTCAAGGATAAACTGGGAGCTGGTGAGTGGAAAGGATTTTAAATTTTTGTTTGAGCCTTGTAGTGTCTTGCAGATGAAGGTTTGTAAGACTGGGATGAGAGGAATTTTTAGAGTAATTTTTTTTTCTTCCGTTTTCAAGAATGTTTTAATCTAAATAGATCCATAAACGGCAAAATTGTACACATTGTTTATAAGATGGTACATGTATGTACTTTTAAACTTTATGTACATATATGACTCCTTCTGTCTCTGGACCTACCGTTTGTCCTTCAGAGACAGGAGATACGGTGTATGCCTTTGTTCTCACTCTTCGTTAAAAACAGAAAAGTGACCTGTCTTGTGTGGTTTGTATTTTGTAATGGTAAGGCTTTTACTAAAATTAAACTCAATCTTTGTGTCGCATTCCAGCCATCAATCTGTGTGCCAGCCATCAATCTGTGTGTTGTGTTCCATGAATCGATCTGTGTCGTGATCTATCCATCAATCCATGAATCAATGTTTGTATCATGTTCCAACAATCAATCCCTGAATCAATCTTTTTGTCATGTTCCAACAGTCAATCTATGAATCTATCTTTGTGTGTTGTGTTCCTTTAAACAATCTCTTTGTGTCATATTTCCAGCGTACCGCTTCCACTCCCTGGCCAGCAATGGCGTCTTCCTCCACGGAGAGCAGGTGCCCTACCGGAACTACACCTCCAAGATGTACGGCCTCAGGTTTCAGTTTGAGCTGAGGAACTACGCAAACATTCCCAAGATTGAGAGTCGGGTTTGCCTGTCGTGCCAGGTACCTTACATGCCGTTCTGTGAGGGGAAGACAGACAAGGTCAGTGCGGTGATATGTTTCTCTTTTTGCGAAGATCTGTTCATGCGTTGTCTCGTCTGTTGCGGTATTTATGAGTGCCGCTCAGTGTGTCATGTAGCTGTGCTGTGTTGCTCAGTGTGTCGTGTTGCTGTGCTGTCGTGTAAATGTGCTGTGTCGCTCAGTGTGTTGTATAACTGCTGTGTTGCTCAGTGTGTCATGTAGCTGTGCTGTGTCGTGTAACTGTGTTGTGTCGCTCAGTGTGTCTTGTGACTGTGCTGTCGCTCAGTGTGTCGTGTACCTGTTCTGTGTCGTGTAACTCTGCTGTGTCGCTCAGTGTGTCGTGTACCTGTTCTGTGTCGTGTAACTCTGCTGTGTCGCTCAGTGTGTTGTGTAGCTGTGCTGTATCGTTAAACTGCTGTATCGCTCAGTGTATCATGTAGCTGGCTTGTGTCATGCCCAAAACTTCTTACAATGAAATGGGGGGGGGGGGGGGGGGGGGTCACTTTTTGGGCTCTGACCCCCCCTAAGCTTTCTGAACCCATGCGCATGAGCTCTGTTTGTGTAAAATATTGGATTTACTTTAGCACCAGGTGAGAAGTGTGTTTGATGCAGAGAAGGAAGTAGTATGAAAAAGTACAGAGCGAAGTGGTATGTACAGGCAAGCTGGTACTGTAGGTTTTTGTTGTGAATTCATTTTGTATGGGAGTGGATATGAATATATGTGAAGCGTGCAGACAAAATGAGTTACTTCTCGGATTCAAGCCTTATGGAAAAAGATATATCAGGCTTATAGGTGAAGTTTTTACAATTTATTAGTAGGAAATAATCAAAGGCATGTTATACTTAAAGAATATGGCATTTTAAAAATTTTTACAAATTTGACCCTTGCGTCGATGTTTCCTTGCAGCCAATGTTTCCATTTTTGGATAGCGAGAGGTAACTCGTTTTGTCAGCATGCCTCGCATATGTTTGTATGTGTGTGTGTGTTTGTATAAAAATATCTGTATTGATATACATGTTTGCATTGACCAGTGGTAAATTTCATCTCCTATCAAAGACCAGATTTGTGTGGAACCCAAATGGTGACTCCTGATTTTTATCGAGGATCTGCCAGCTGACCTCAGCAATTTCTTCCTGATCCATGCATGGTTAGAGATGGAGCATAGCACCATAAATATGTCTGTGGGTGGTTGGCATGTGCTCTGGTGTGGTTTGCTTCTTCTTTCCTATCAGACATCTATCGTCTTTATCTCCCCTCCTTCTTTTTTGTATTTGTTACTCTCTTGTAACACTTCTAACCTTCCGCACTTATATGACCTTATTGTGTTGCAAGTGCCGTAAAACACTGACTAAAACTAAACACTTACTAAACGAAAATATATGTCTGTTCTCTTTCTTTGAATGAGAGATATTTCTTTCAATGACTTTCAAACCATTCTTCTCACCAGAACAATGGACTTGCCCAGTTTCAGGCAAATTTCTACCCCAAAGGCTATTTCTCGACTATATCCCTGTACGGGAACTTCATGGCACGACAGAACGACAATGTGACTTTGAAGATCAGCCGCCAAAACGCTCCGTACACCTTCGGAGGACTCAGCGACGCCAGCCGACAGTACCCACCCATGCTGGTGGAGGCCACGCTACAGCTGTACGGCAAGAAGAAAGAGTTACGGTTCGTGGGACTCACGCTGACCAAAACACACGTCTTCACCAGCAAAACGCCCGACCTTGTGGTGGAGAACGTCCTTGACCTGTCGCGGCTCAAGGCGGAGGAGTCGCCATTTGTGGTGGAGGGCTCTCTGTCCGGGGCGGTATTCGTCAAAGTTCAGCAAGTCGGGGATCACTTGTTGGAGGAGGCGGGGGCGAGAGAGGCGTCGGCCGGAGCCTGTTTTGACCGCGGTCCCTCGAACGCCAGCCCGTGATCTCTTACTTACTTAGTGGCGTTGGTGATAGGGCTTTCCTTGTTGAACTGATTGGTTGTTGGGGGGGGTGCCACTTTTCACGGTGTATTTCAGGAGTTCTTGACGCCAAGATTATTCTCAAGTTACTAGTTCTGTTGTAATGATGGTTCTCTCGTCTTTGATGTCACAATATCTCAGAGAGGCAATTTTAATACAATTGGACAGTGGGGAATTCAGGAAACTGCTTTTCTGTCATACTGTCACGTTTTCTGAAAATGCACTATTCTTAGGAATAAGAGATAGCTTACTTTTTCAGTTCTGCTGTCAATTGGTCTTTACTTACCAAAATTACGTAAGTTGAAGAAGAAATCAATTTTATGAGGTGAACTCAGATCCAACTTGTGATCTCTTGTCTTATTTTACTCAACGCATAATTTCTGCTGCTGAAATACTCACTTACTCTTTCTTATTTTAACTTCAATTTTACTCGGATATGCACTGAGCACAGTATCAGAAGACCATCTCTGCTTCTGTTGCTGCTACACACCTGATTTCCCGAGAACTTTGTACCAATGGTTGGAAAGTAGAAAGATTATACAAATGTAAATGGGTTTGATATTAAAGTTCCTACTCATGCAGTCACTCCCAAGTAGTTGCATATGGCTTAAAATCTCTTGTTGCTAGAATTTGTTTCATGGTTGAGTGGCACCCCAAGATGATGCTTGGATATTTATAGCTTTGCTTGCTTTGCCAAATGTATGCAGTTCATATTTCTGGACATGTGCTTCATATTTATCATATACTCTCAACTCTCAGTCACTGCAAAACCTAGTCAACTTTACAAAGCTAGCAGAAGCAGTCAGGGCAAAAACCTAGTCAGTTTTTACAAAGCTGGTAGCTTTGTATGCTTTACATTAAAAAATCCCAAAGATATTTTCCTGAATTGGATACCTTCTTGTGTTGGTGGCAAGCAAAGGATGGATCAATAATATTTTGTCGTGCAGGGATGTCAGTTTGCTTTTATTCTTGAGAGATGCAGTTATATCTCTTGCAACTGCTTTCTTTGGGAATTGATTCTGACTATAGGAGGAACATTAACCCCACATGTGCGGCATAGTTTTCACCTCATATATAGGACAAGGGGGAGATTCAGCAGAACTCAATTTGTATCACGTATTAAAGTGCTCATGACTTGCTTGTTTATAGCAACACAGTTCGGCATAGAATGGGGACATCCTGGAAAGACCATGGGAACAAGACGTTACAAATGGTCTCGATTTGATAGCTAGAGAAACCGTGAAGAACTGTGCCCTCAACAGTTTTGGGCACTTGGCGGTGTGATCTCATTCGGCACGACCCGAAGGAGTTCTGGGCGGAGCATAGAGGCTGGCATTGACTCTACCCATCCTCCGTACTTCCTACGTATTTCCTCCATATTTTCTCCGTATTTCGATGGGATGCTTGGAATTCGGAGACTCGACTGTTGTTGGTTGCTGCACTTAGAATGGTGACGGAGTAATTCTCAGCTTCTGCTTTGTGAGGACGTCCTTTGTGCTTGAGGAGTAGGACAGGAATCAGATGTTTTTGTTACAGAGCTGCCCGGCTTTTCATTTTTTCTCATGGAATAAATTTTTTGGCTTTTTTTTGGGGTGTTGTTTTTAATAGTTTTCTTTTAGCTTCAATGACATTTTTGTCATATATAATGTCCTGTTTGGTACATGGTTTGGGAGCTTGTGAAGGATGGAGGGATAGTTGTAGGGTTTTGTTTGGGTTTTTTTCTGTTCTGGATTTTTTTTTTTTTGGTACCACCAGGACGAAAAAAAATCCCTCAGGTACTTTCCTATATGTTTCGTTTTTGTTTTTTTTAGATTAATAAAGCTCTTTAGCCTTTTGATCCTCACATTTTATGCAAAAACTTGGGCTGTGCCCCAGCTGTAAAATATTTTTTTAACTCGGGGGGAAAAGTAATCATGAATTCTTGCTTTGGGATTTGGTGCTAGTTAACAAAAATTGTGTTTTGCATTTAGTGTCAATATTTTTCGTCTATTTTTGTGCATTCTCTATAGAACAGCACAGTGTTTTGTTTGACGACATAGTCACTTCAAAATAGAGCTGTTTTAGGTTCTAGTCTTCTTCGGGTTTAAAAAAAAAAAAGATCCACGGTTCTTTTATTTTTCTTATTGATCCTTGTTGGAGAATTTGGTTACAGTGGCATGTACAAATGCTTATAATTTATAGATTCTATGACTGTTTATATCAACAGCATATAGATACACAACGCTACTATACAGACAATTCATGCGTGCTATGGCTGGATGCCACAGTGCAGTGCACATTTTCATTGTTCGCTTCTCAGCCCGTTCCAATTGGAACATACTTTTTTTCCCATTTTTGTTTTATCCTATCAATTTCAAACAATACCACAATGTGTAATATGTGACAATGTGAACACCGTGAAATGAATGATCTCAGTTTTTGTAAACCATACCCTGAGGGTACGGGTGTAAAGAAAAAATGTCTGTCCATTCATTAAATAGAATTTTTTTTAAGGAAAAGGGGTGAAGAGAGAGGAGAGGGGGAGCTGTTTGCTATCTGAGGGCCATGGTATGGAGGAAGTAAATCCAAATGACCTTGGTATAGAGGAACTGAGACCAAATATCTTTGATATGGAAGGAGTAAAATCAAATGACTTTGATATAAAGGGAGTAAGATCAAATGGCTTTGGTATGGAGGAAAAAGGTCAAATGACTTCAGTTTGAAGAAAGTAAGGTCAAATGACTTCGGTATGAAGAAAAGTCAGATGACTTCGGTATGAAGAAAGTTAGGTCAGATGACTTCTGTATGAAGAAAGTTAGGTCAGATGACTTCGGTATGAAGAAAGGTCAGATGACTTCGGTATGAGGAAAGTAAGGTAAAATGGCTTCGGTATGAAGGGAGTAAGGTCAAATGACTTCAGTATGATGACTTCGGTATGAAGGGAGTAAGGTCAAATGACTTCAGTATGATGACTTCGGTATAAAGGGAGTAAGGTCAAATGACTTCAGTATGAAGAGAGTAAGGTCTGAAAACTTCGGTATACAGGAAGTAATGTCAGACGACTTCGGTATGGAGGGAGTTAGGTCAAATGACTTTGGTGAAGGGTGCGGCAGAGATGGGGATGAGACATCAGCGTTTTGTCAGAACAGTAGAGTTTGCTTGTAGCACTTTTCAGGGACCAGATTTTTACGTTTGTTGTAAGGAGGGGTTTAAAAAAAAACAACCCTTGAGGTCATTATTCAGTGATGGAAAAAGTGAATTGTACTGTATCATACAAGTTTTTTACGATCAGAAAAATTCTGACATAAAAGTCTTAACGAAAGAACTCCCTGTAAGAGAAACTTACTTTCAACAATTGCCACATATTAATGTCCTGGCCATAAAGGAATGCGACCAAGCTACTGACAGCTGATAATAGCCCGTCGGTTCCCGACCGCTTGGAGCGATTTCCGACCGCTGGAAGCGGTTCCCGACCGCTGGGAGCGGCCTGCCCGAGATAAAGAGTTAAAATGTAAAACAAATTTCATAGTTTACTCCCAAAAGTTGTGAATCTGAATAGATTGGTCTGAGTTACAGACCCTTTCTGAAAGAAGGTACCCTACGAAAATGATCAAAGCACAATATGTTTTATACTTTAACATTTGATTTTCTTTCGTCCTGAAAACAGGATTTTTTTTCCATTGTGGTTTTCAAGTGTGGTTGATTGTAAAGACGATGTGCCTGCTGCCTGAATTTTGTCAAATGAAAGCTTTTCCTGTGATACTGTGAGGAGTCATGGCATTGATCAGATTTTCTTGCCGCCAATTTATTTATCCATTTACTATTTCAGCACCTTAATTTTCCTATATCTGTCGTATATGTATACGTACCTTTTTTATACCATTTTTGAAACATTATTTTAAATTTTTATTCTATGTCTTTACGCTCCTCTAAGACTCAAACTGACTTTCTTAAAACCAATGTCTATTTTATGTTGGGTTCACCGTTTACTCTTCAGTACATGACTCATTTTCGTTGAGAAAATTTCACCATAAATTTTTTAAAATACATTGTCGTAACGCATGTATGGAGGGGGGAGGGGGGAGGTGGTCCTCATTATTCCGAGCAAAGACAGTAAGTACTCTGTAAGTAAAAACATATACAAGTACATCATGAACCATGAGCTGCGGATTTCACGCGCTCAAACACTACGTTAGAAAAATCTCAGAGTCGTCCGAGTCCGCAAGAGGTGACTAGTTTTGGGATTGTTCCAGAAATCAGGATTCAGGAAATGGTCTGCTGCCTGCATTTTGCCCGACTTCAGACTGATTGTTGAGAAGTTGTTGCATTTTATGTTAAGATAGTCTTGATGCGAAATGTTTGAGACAAAAACATCCGCAATATTTGAGTCCCTGCGCACATGTTTCCACGTGGTCGGAAAAGTTGAATTTATTTTCTGAGCCAGTTGGTACCTCCTGTCTGCTAACTGCTCCTCATGATCATAAGATTGGTGAACAAGTTAGTACATTTTATAATCACTATCCGGAAAAAAAACCCACCCCCTGCAGAATGCTTACATTATTCTGAGAGCTATGTGACTTGAGAAGTGCCTGCTGCTTATTCTACCATGTTGTGTGTTCAGCTCCTAAATCATGGACTAGTTTTTCCCTTTGTCTTTTACTTTGAAAGAGTTCAGCTCTTTGAAGTTGCGAGAATGATGAAGTATGTACCATGGAGCCCTATGATATGATGAACAGGTTACATATTATGATTGGAGAACTTATACTTAACTCTGCTGGAATGTTTGGTGCGCAAATGAGAACTTCTAGATGTTTTCCGTTTGAATTCAATTGTGATGGCTCAGCTTGTTTTATTGTGTGCTGAACTTGGATTAGATGATTTTTATTGGAGTTTGACACTTTTTTTAACGCAACAGGGTTACTTTTGTAAAAAGGCTACTATTGATTCAGTAATGAATGACTCTGGCAAGTATTTGATGGAGTTGTTGTAAGTGCAATGTGTTGCAATAAAAATTAAGCATGGTTTCATATATTTGGGCTACATTTGTGTAAAAGAGGCCTGAAAAACATAATAATAATAATTGCACTTATATAGCGCATATCCATGCTCAAGAGCTTGCTCTATGCGCTTTACAACTATTATTACCCCAGCAGACCCACTGAGAACACTCAGAAACATTCTCAGCTTCCGCAGAAGCATACAGTGCAAGCTGCGGATTTCACGCGCTCAAACACTATCAAACTGACAAGATCTTTTACTGTCTATAGCTGGGTACCCATTTCCACCTGGGTGAAATGAGGAAAATTTGCGCAAAGTGCCTTTCCCAAGGACACAACGTCGGGTCCCTGACGGGATTCGAACCCACGACCTTACGGTTGGGAGTCCGAGAGCCTAACCACTAGGCCACCGACGCCATCTCTGATGGATCACAGGTAATGAAACTAAAATATGTCATTCTCCATATGCTTGAAAACAGTATTTCTTTAAACCGTATTCTTTTACAATTCACAAAAGTGCAGGGTAATTGCCAAATCTTTTCCTTAAAAATACATCTGAAGAAGTAGAAGGTCAGCCCCAACTACTGTGAGATCCTCAAAAAAGAGAGACAGGTTTTTTGAGGTCACTCGTTGGCAGATCTAACCCAGGTCCTGTAAGGTTCAAGTTTAAAAAAGTTGGAATGATTAGAAAAATTTAGGCTTGTACTACGGATCAAAATACATGTTAAAATTTAAGTGGAAGATCTATTTACAATTGGAGAGAGAAGAGTATTGGCTGTGAGTTTCACTCGTGTTATGTAGGCGAAAAAAGGATGATTTTTTAAAATTGAAGGAAGGTTCTGCGTCAACGTGGTTCTTGCTGCTTGTACATTGTACCTTCTTTTCTTCTTACACAAGATGTAGGGGTGTGGTTATTGTAGTATTGCATGGGCTTTTATAATATATATATATTTATTTTTTTTTTAAATTATTTTTTTTTAATTAAAAAAAAAAAAAATATACATATGTCTGTCTACTTGTAGAAGTACATTTGGTTTATGTTCTGCGAATAGGAATTGTTTATGTTGGTATGTATGTATTTGAGTTTGAATGTATGCCGAGTGTTTATAGCTGGTTCTGCGTTTTGGTCCTGAGGTGTCTTTTGTTTTCGCTAATTCAAACTTCAATGGAGCCTTAACTTTTGTTCTTCCCCCCCCCCCCCCCCCCTCACCTTCAACCATATAAATATAATATAGATTATATTTGACTTAGGTTTTTATATTCTATATATATATATATATATATATATGGAGTTTATTGTTTTGTATTAAATGAAGATTAGGGACAGGTGAGTGGATGACAAACAAATGTTGGCCGTTTTAGGTCACTTTGTGGAGGTTTTTGCTTATAAATGTCCAAGCGTTTTATTATTTCCCTGTCATTAAACATTTTCCTTGCTACCTGTACTGTAGGTGATCTCCGTTTTGTTGCGTTGTTTCACTTTTAAAAATTAAAACTTAAGTGCAAGGTGTATAACAAGAAATGTTGATTTTAAGGATGTGTAGCGGAAAAGAGAGAGAAGAAGCAAAGGCGTACTCAAAATTTCTGGTCGGAAGTAGAAAACGATTATTTTATTCTCATTCTCAGACTTTGTAAAGTGTGTAGTTAGTAGGTTTATGTTTGCTGGTGTGCGACAGGTCAGAACTGAAGAGGAGCGCGCCCACATCACTACCCTAGAGTTACAAAGTTCTGTCTGCTCGGTAGCCTACCTCGTTTTGAGAATTATGGCGTTAACAGTTTTGAATTTCACACTAAGTCAAGCTTTTTGAAATGCAATATTTTGGGTAGATCTATCTTGATAACGGCTCCGAATAATCTTTCGATTTTGATAGAGCAGATAGAACATTTGGTTCCGGACCTGATTGATGCAATGTGCAATAAGTCTTTTTTTTATGTCTTAGTTAATTATGCTGTGCGTACTAATTTATTTATACATATATATATAACCGTGATATTTGTACCCCCTTATACCATACAGTCATCTATTTATTAGTTACGGTTTTTGTTCTGCTGGCTTGCTTGTGTATACTTTCTTGTGTATTGTTTGTTGCTAGATGCTATATATATTGGGAAGCTGGCTATTCATTGCGCGTAAGTGAAGCGCATACCCTAGTTCTATTTATAATTGTGTCATGACGCAGTGGAATCAAGCTCTCGTCAATATTTGGGTATGTAGAGCTATTGGTATCACCTTAAAGCTTGTTCATTTGTCTTGTTTTGGATGGAAAAAAAAGTAAATATATCTGGGGTAAATAGAAGTCAAGATATTTGCGAATGAAGGAGGTGGGGGGCGCCTGGTTTCAGAGTTAGAATTAGTAAGAAAAAATATCCCCGAAAGTTGAACTTTTTCCTTAGCTTGAGAGTCCGTTTTAACTGAAAATTTACATCTTTTAATCAACGTTTTTCAGTAAAATCCTCACAGAAATGTGTTCTTTAATGGGCATTAAAGATGCCGATCCAAAAATAAAAAATTTGATAAAAAATTCCCACACCTATGGAAAAAGGTCAGTTTCTTCACTTTGATTATTTTGACGAGTGCCTGATTACACCACGCTGCCTCACATATAACGTAGATTGTAGCACATCATTACTCAACAGTGTCTGACGTATCTGACTTGTCTTGGGTGCACTGTTCACTCTGTACTTCGCTGTTAGTGTACAGTGGAGACAATCTTGGTCTGTAGAATCCTCAACGAGGTTTCCTTGATGAACTTGGCGTGTTCCTGGAATTTCCTCGATTTTCCACCAGCTTGGCTCTGCACTGTTGGAGTTTTACATTGAAATCTTGCTTTAGCAGGACAGGTCTACTTCCCTGTGCTGTGAAATCCTGCTTTAGGGAGACTGGCAACACTGATCTTGAAGAGTTTTGATACTGATATAGCCAGTCAGATGTATGACTGTATAGCACGTTTTGTGAAGAATCAAGAGAAATTATATTGTTAGTGAAGTATTTAAAGTGAACTGAAGAGATCTCTTGTTAATACAAGTTACTTGGTCTTCAGGTATTCGGGGGAAAAAAGTAAACTGTTATAATGAGATGTGTGTTCTTAAATATCATGTATTTCTTTGCGCATACCGGTACCTGTTTCATTTGAAATTTACATGTAAGTGTATAAGTTACTATATACATAGTTTTCATTTTGTTTTTTCCAAGCCTACCAAACATGTTACGACACATCATGAAATTGATCGTTGAATGCTGTTGACAGGATTTTGTCCTGTGATTACTTTTTTCTTTTACTTCGTTACTTTGTATCTAAAATCTATGATGGAGATCAAAATTAGCCACTCTGTATATTTTCCTGTTTTCAGTGTCAAAAATATTTCTTTGTTTTAATTCCTGAGAATTTTAACATAAGGGTGGTGGACAGACATAGACTGTCACTAGTGGTTTGTTCTAGAAGATAGAGGACATCAGTATAACACGGATAGTTTGAATTCCTGTGGACCAGCCTCGGTAGTTCGAGAGATCCGTAGTTTGAGGGATATCTTACAAAGATAAAGAAGAGCAAAAAAAAAATGGGACTGCAGGCACAGTTCAACAGATGCGTGATTTCGAGTCTTCTGTGTTCGACCTATCCGTGTTATACTGTATATATAGCCACCTATGAATTTGATCTGGATGCCGGACTTATTCCACGACACTGAAATGTGCTTGCCATCTCTTCTTTACACTTTGCCTCTACGGGAGGCCCATCGGCGACGGTAAGAAGCCGTACCTTTTCCCCACGGGAGGCTGATGGGCGACTGTGATATAGCGTTACCACATCTGTATCTGGTCCGTGGGGATAAGTGTTGTACGCTTTGTGCGCGTCGTGAGTGGATAGTGTTAATTTTCTTGCCACACTGCGCCGTCCCTTCAGTTTTACAACATGCATATTGTCAATGTCCTGTCTGTCAGTCTTCTTCTTATCGCTGGGCTGATGTGCCTATCCCTGGTGGCATAGATGTTCTTTAAAACCCAGCTTGTGAAGGAAAAATAATTAAAATGTTGACTGAATAGCCAAGGGAGTGATTTCAATGGTGACCAATAAATTCACATTCCATAGTGTGAATGTGAAACAAAAAAAATTAAATTAAATACTGTAACAAACAAAAACACACTAAGTGCATTTCGAAAGAGCATAAAAAGTAGAAAGATCTGTTCTTTTAAGATGAAATAAGAAAAAAAAAGGTTCATAACATCCTCCTTCACAGCAATTTCTTAGTTCATTTCCAGTAATCGTATTTTGTAGGACTTGGGGGAAAATAACCTGGGGTTTTTATTTTTCTCTGCTTTGATTACTTTGAATGAAAAAAACCTTGGCTGAACCGGTGACTTAACTTACCATAACTGCAAATATAAGATTCATACTCTTTCCAATTCCACCATTGATTGTCTGTGCTGAAGTCAGACTTTTTGAACAATGGACTTACTTTGTGTTTATCAGAGTAAAGACAGAAAGTCAGAAAGGCAAAATACTAAACCAAACACAACATACAGGATAAGACTGATAGTTCGAATTTGTTGGGACAGGCCTCGGTAGTCTAAGGGATCTAGATCTATAGGTCGAGGGATATTTTACAAAGATAAAGAAGAAGAAAAAAAACCCCGGGGCCACAGGCACAGTTCGACGGATGTGTGATTTCGAGTCATCTGTGTTTGACCTATCCATGTTATACTGAAGGAACTACTATATAATATATAGAGACTAGAAGTTATGGTATTTGTGGGAAGGAAGACTTGAGCTTTTTTGTGTGTAGGGTGTGGGGCAAACATTGCCAGTGTGTGGGAAGACAGTGGGGAGTGGGTTTGTGTGGTAGCTATTGAGCAGGCAGTCATAAACTTGGATTATCGACTTGATTGGCTCAGCATTATATTGGGCTTCCTTTGATGGGGAATGTTTAGAATATGGATTTTTCTCCGCTGGACCGTGGCATGTTGTGTTTATGGCACAGAATCAGTACCGTTCTTTACTTATACTGTTGTCTAGATTATCTAGTCTGGGCGGGCCACTTTATCCTTATGATTAGCGGACCTAAACATATTTAAAAATTATGTGCACTGTATTGCTAATAGTAATAGAAATGTGAATTCTCTTCTTTTTTTCACGTAAAGGCCAAATTTTCAGGTGTTTTGTTTCAGGATGTGCTTGGCGGATGTTTGTGTATCTTTTTTATTTATATGTAGCATAGGCCTACTTCATTTTGGGATTTGGGGGGGGGGGATTTTTGTGTTATTTAATTAGGATTAAGATTTTAAGAGAACTCCTGTTGATATTATTGTCTCTTTAAAACTCCTTTTTCAATAGAAATGGATTCTTTTGACTGGTTCTATGGTAGGCCTATGTCTTCACATTGAATGTTCTTACAAATGCTTATTACATTTTTCATTTTGGTGCCTTGTGATGAAATAAAACGCGGACACGCCAGACAATTTGAGATCTCGTCTTGTGATGTTTTTATTTTTTCTTCTGGCGGGTTTCTTGGGCCAGTTCGCTACTGTAGAATTACAAAGTTCTATCTGCTGAGTAGGCCCTACTTGGCTTTGTAAGACATTTGAAAATCAAAGATTTTGAGCTCTACATCATGTCAAGATTTTTCAAATGCAACTCTTTGAATATCTTTATAACGGCTGCAAATAATCGTATGGTTTTGATAGAGCAGATATTACATTTGGTTGTTGATCTCATGGTCTTAATAACTCAAAATGGCCAAAAATGTTTGATAGAACTTTGTAATTCTTTGTAATAAAGGTATATATTCAATCAGGGAATGGCAAATTGTACGAGCTTTCCTTGATTTCGAGCTTTTCGTGTTTGTGTTATCTGTGCCCGACTGTACATAGAAACTGAAAGTTGTCAAGTGGTCGTCTTGACGTGATTGTTGTGGCATAAAAGTGTCATTGCCATGTCAGAATTAAGGTACATATGCTGATATTAATCTACGATTAGTGGGGAAAAGCTTTCAAACCCAACTTTTTTTTAGGAACAGTAAAAAATGCACACCTGAGTCTGTTTGCCTCAACAACTAACTTTATTTTTGGCATGGAAAAGTCTGGTCATTGCACAAAAAAAGATTAAACAGAATCAAGTCCATAATGCAATTTGAATACATGACTCACACTTAAATTAAGAACAAATGTTTAATAACTGGAGACCAGTGCATGATTTAATCAAAGTCAAAGAAGGAAAGCCACAAAAACTTCATATGGCACTCCACCATCGTGCTCCGAGCGCCGTGTTGACAAAGACACATTGACTGTCTAGAGGAACGGGAAGAGATTAGCAATCATCTATACTCCCTGAGGTGGTCAGCGTGGCAATTTTCTCTACTCCTTATTTCATCTTGTAATAGTAATAGAGATCTTATCAGAAAGTTTTTCTTTTAGCATGTGCCACTGTTGAAATAATATATTTCTTATTACAGAGCAGCCTCTCTATAACGACCTTCGATATAGCGACATGGTGCCCAGGTCACGATTTTTTCCTTATATATCTAGTAATTTATGGTTGCCTCTCTATAACAACAACTCTCTATAACGACATTTTTTTTCTGATCCCGACCATGTTGTTATAGAAATGCTGCACTGTACGTTAATCCGGCGCTTTATTTTGCCTCCTCTTTGTTCATGCCAGCCTTCAACTTGGCCAGGGCCACAAGCCGGCGATCTCGCCACTGTCTCCGCTGTTCCAAGTTCTCTACGGGCCCGGCAACGTTCTCCATCCCACGCTGGATTACATCCAGAGTTTCCCCACCAATTTTCTCAGGAGGCAGGAAGTCTTTCTGAATCCCGTAGATCATGTCTGCGTATCGGTCACTGTAGCTGTGCAAACCTGAGGGAATCAAAATTTGAAAAAAGTCAATTGACGATGGTGTCATTATTCATTCATACTATACCTGGATATCTGGAGGTGTCATCTCTGACTCATACTATACCATTCTCTATATTTATGAAAGAAAAAAAAATTGCTTTTGTTACCTTTAACAATAACACCTTTTTTCTCCAGTCAGCTATTTACAAGAAGTACCGAACAGATGTGCAGTCTATAAATTGCAATGTGACTCAGCCAGTCAGTAGCAGGCAGCCATAGAATTTCACGAACAAAAATCCTATGGATTCCCCTCAGATTGAACTCCCTACCTCAAGGTTATGAGGAGACGGTGCTTAGAAAATGATACAAAAATATCAAATACTGGTAGCATGTATGTTTTTTTTTGCTTTCAAAAGTAAATTTATACAATAGTAGTCAACTATCCATTTTGAGAATGGTAGCTGATTTACCTGCTATGAATAAACAAACAACTTGATCAAAAGAGAGTCAGATCTCATCCACCCACAGCAGGGAAAAGTTCTCTCTTGATATCCAGTCATCCAATTGATATTGTAAATAAAAAAGCTATTTATATTGTGCTAATCCAAATAGAGTGATACTTCTAAAGCTAAATAAAAAGAAGAGAGAAGTTATTCAAAAGACCATAAACCTTTTCAATCATCAAACACACGCTTTCTCACACACTGACAGCTCAGTTGGTATCAAGCTGAGCTACTGCGTGATTCAAATCACTATTGAAGTATTCCAGGACTTGGGTTGTTGGGGAGTATTGAAAGCCCTCCCCTCACTTGGCTCAGTCTTATCAGAGACGGATGTCAAATCCAGAGGTACTGCCTCATGAATGGAACTTATATAGTGTTGAGAAAGGCTTGAACTAAGGCCATGCTGTATACTTTTTATGGAATCCCACACAAGTTGAAGTTGAGAGGAGCCTTCATTAAAGTCATGAGCTGACTGTAAAGAGAGCAATTTGACAACAAGTGACAATAACAACAGGAATATGTTCACAAACAGAATAGCACACTTGTCCTTTCGTAGACCAATGTACAACACCTACCATCAGCGTTGAGATATGCAGTTTCCCAGGGTCCCATGAAAGCGTAGCGCATTCCTAGTCCCTGAGACATGATCACGTCACAGTCCTCCGGGCTCACAATTCCATCCTGCAAACAAAGAATCAACACGGACAGATTGAAAGTTTTATTTTCCAGAGAGTAAAAAAGTTCAGAAGCGTAAATTCTGCTTATAACTGTCCCCGTAGAATTATGCAAATTTAGAAAGCCAAATTATGCACAAAAAAAGCAAAATTATGCAAGTTACCGTAACGCCATTCGCGACATGTTTTGCACTTTTTCAACACGAAGTTTCATGATTTTCATGTTTTATGTACAGAAAAATTGAAAACAGAACATATCAGTATCAGTAATTTGTTTTGTATTTGGAAAAGAAAACAATACACATCAGTAAAAAAAAACAACAAGTGCAGCCTCTGTATAACGACCTTCGACATAACGACATCCTCTGATGCCCAGGTCCCGATTTTTTCCTTATATATCTTTAGTAAAATTTTCGGTTGCCTCTCTATAATGACAACTCTCTATAACAACGTTTTTTCCTGGTCCCCATGATGTCGTCATAGAGAGGCTGCACTGTAGTTCTCTTAAAAGCTAATTATGGACCTCTGCACGCCCAAGCCTTTAAGTTATTTTATCATCACTGTCAGAAAAAAAGAGTGGCTCCAAATTGTTGGGCTCATTCTTTACATCCGGGTCAAACACAGTTGAGCATATTTCTTGCAACAATGATGATATGCGAGTTTAAAAGAAGATTTTAAGAAAAGTTCAGAGATATGATCAAACAAAAAGACAGTGAATAAAACTTTACAATCACAAACATACGGCTTCTTCAGCTTGTGACCAAATTTTACGTGAAGCATCCACTACATATCACTCTGCTACTAGTTCATACAAGTTCTTTGCACTAATACAAAAGGATAAGCTTAGATTTCTTCCACCAGATATGAGGAGTATTTTATGAGCAAAATAAATCTGAAGGCTGCTGATGATTCAGCAGATATTATGGGCATTTTGTCTCCAGCAATGCCCTTACTTAGAGCCAAGGGTGCCACCTCCACCTAAAAGAGGTGTGAAGTATTTTCAAAGCAGCAACGTACTGTCATCCTAGTACATGAAGAGATAGTCCGCCCCAAGGATCTGGTAACTATGACCTAGTGGAGTATGTATGTGCATTTATGTGCATTTGTTGGCACTTGTTCGTGTGTATGCGTGTGTGTGTGTGTGTGTGAGAGTCTGTGCATATGTGTAAGTGTGTGAGTGTGCGTGAGAAAGTGTGCATAAATGTATGAGTGTGTGTGCGTGAGTATGTGTGCATATGTGCGTGTGTGAGAGTGTGTGCATATGTATGCATTAGAGTGGGTAGTGTTTGCATATGTGTGAGTCAGGAAAGACATCCTCATTATCATAATGAAGCGCTAGATCTGAGACAGACATTGGCGACCACGGTTTCCCATTCATCTTTCTGCTCAGATGCTTTAAAAAAACAGCCCAACCCCCCCCCCCCCCCAAAAAAAAAAAACCAACCCCCTACGTTATTACTATTCTTGTCGATCTCCGCCACTCATCTAGCTGTTCCAGTTCTCTGAGAAGGATTAAAAAACTCACTCGGATCAAGTTCCACGTCTCAGCCAATATTGCGTACTGAATACGATTCAGCACAAAGCCGTTGATCTCCTTCTTCAACAATACTGGGGCCTGTCCGATTTCCTTGAGCAGAGCCACAGTTTTCTCTATCACGTCAGCGTCGGTCCAGCTTGCCGGAACAACTTCTGTAGCAGGCGCGTAGAACGGTGGGTTTGTCTGATTGAGGGCAAATCATGGAGAACAGGGTAAATTCTTTAGAAAACCCAGTATTGAAAAATGGTTCAGTTAACTACCATACTGAAGTAAACAAAATTATCATTATTTGCACTCTGACTTGGTCCTGTCTTTTCAGTTTGAAGTCTTTTTCAAGATTAATGAGGTGTAGAAGGTACGCTAATATAGTAGTATGAATTTATCTTGAATGTCCACTTTCCCCCAAATTTAGATACAAGACGTCAAACCTCCCTGTTGCTTAACCAACCATTTGTTGTAGAATATTTAAGATTTGGATGTAGACAACATGTCAAGGAGCTTTAGGTTAGTGGAATCAATAGTGGAATCAATATCCATACCCCTCATTTCCTAAGCTCAAGAGAGAACTGAAGACAGAATGAAGAGACAGACAATAGACGTGTACTGAACCCACAGTGTTATTGAGTGGTCAATGCCTCACTCCCTTCCTACTTCCTAGGATAAGGAAATCAAATTAAAAAACTAAATGGAAAAGTGAGGATCATGCTTATTACATAACAGAAAAAAGAAAAGTTTGGAACCCTGCACAAAAATGACTGCACCGTGTTTTTACGCTTTTTCTACTTGAAATAACTGGCAATGTAAACTTTTCACTAGTCTAAACAGGATAAATAGGAAAGCACAATAGAGTGTCAAGCGATCTACCTACCGGGTGTGTAACAACAAAGCGATTTTTGTGAGTAAGATCCCCAGAAATGAGAGATGGCATCAGGGCGCTAGTGGAGGAAGACATGATGGCATCAGGACTCATCACTTTCTCTATTTTGGCAAACACAGATTTCTTTAACTCCAGTCGCTCGGGGATGCATTCCTGTAGATATTGATAAAGAATTGCAAACACAATAAACGACAAAATAAACCATGATTTCTTTCGTTTTACCGGGTATTACTTTACAGCAAAAGCGATGAACAGGGTAAACTAAAAGATGTTAAATAAACTTAAGACACAAATTGTCAACTATTTCTTACTTTCTGAGCCCTTTGAGCTCCGCAGGCATGCATCATCAGGCTTAGCCTGAACCTACACTCCTGAGACACTACAACCAGCCAGATTTACACCAACACACACTGAAGTGTCGGCTTAGTGTGCACGCCTGATCGTTGGGTCAAGAAAGTATTTTTTTGCAAACTTCTGAGAAATTATAGGTTAACATGTGTGTTTCAATTGCTTGCATCTATTCAACAGAACCTGAGAACGTAGCATCCATCAAGGATAGGATAAACAGTAGGAGGAAATCCCTTTAAAAAAGCAACAAAAAAAAAACAATATAAAGAAACAACTCCAAGAACTCCATCATTGAGGATTCAAACCAAAGTCATCCGAACTCTATATAATATATATGTGTGTGTGTATATATATATATATATATATATATATATATATATATATATATATATATTATATATATATATATATATAGCCAAGTACCAGTCTGATACCACCTGAGCAAAGAGCATTGAGGACTCATATATATTATATGACCTTATGCAGTGCAAGCGCCGAAAAACCTGTACTAAAATTAAAAGAGGACTCGAGGTCTTCCAACCCATCCTATTTACCTGGATGAAGAAAGCTCCGTTCACACACTCAGCCAAGTCCTCGGTGTACGTGATGTTGGCAAACTGCTGCTCCTTGGAGAGAGAGCCTCGCAAAAGTCCCTGCTCCTCGAGCTTGTTCAGCTGGCTCCAGATGTCGTCCTTTGCCACGGCATTCTGAGCCGGCTCCACATCATACACGGACACCTGGTAGCCTCCACTGACAAACAGCATGGAGAAACTGCGACCTATCAGGCCGCTGGGAGGAGGGAAATATGAGAATAAGACAAACAAATAAGATAAAATATAGTAATACATATATTCTACTGATCCTTTGATCACTGGAAACAAAATTTAATTAGCTTCCGCGACACAAAATATTACGTGTTTTACAGAGTCATACAAATTATGACAAATACCAACACAACACAAACACTAAAAAATAAAGAGATCTAGATCTACATGAAAATAGACAAAAACGATGTTCAATCAAGCCACTTAGTACCTAGATCTAACAACAGAAAAGGCAAAGGAGAGCTGGTCAGATCACAGACTAAAAAACTTTGAGCCCCCCTCCCAGACATTATTAGAGAGTCTAGATTTCTAGATATCTAGATCTAGATCTAGATATCTAGAGTCTAGATCTAGAGTCTAGATCTAGAACTAAGGAATCTAGATCTAGAGATCTAGATATAGAATCTAGATTTAGATCTAGATACGAAGTGGCTAGCCGTACTTACGGTACGGCTAGACAGAGAGTCTAGCCGTACTTAAGTACGGCTAGACTGCCAGTCTAGCCGTACTTAGATCTAGGTTTGGCCCTACCGACGCAAGCCTGTTAAGTACACAGGTCTCATTAGATCTATATCTAGCAATTATTCAGGTTCAAATACATGCAAGCCAGTAAGGCATCTTTAGGTTTTGTCTGAAATACAAATAATTTAGGCATAGCAAACTAAAAATTTCATTTACAATTCAGCCATCAATATTAAGTACGGCTAGCCTGACAGTCTAGCCGTCCTTAAGTACGGCTAGCCTGGCTGTCTACCCGTACTTAAGTACGGCTGGACTGCCAGTCTAGCCGTACTTATCTTAGGCCCAATTAACATTAGAAAACAGGAGGTTTAAAATACATGCACTGTCATTAAGTGTTAAGGCACCTGGTTTCGTCTCAAATACAAATACTTTAGGTACTGCACACTAAAAATTTATATTTACAATTCAGTAGGCCTATTTTTTTTAAATGGTCAGTCTAGCCATCATATTTAGAATAAGTACGGCTAGACTGCAAGTCTAGCCGTACTTAAGTACGGCTAGCCAACCAGTCTAGTCGTACTTAAGTACGGCTAGACTGCCAGTAGAATCTAGATCTAGATTCTAGATAGATCTAGATTTCTAGATAGATCTAGAGATGTGCTAGCCTAAATTAAATCTCAACTTCCAGCAAATTTTTGGATATAAGAAGACCATATAGCACAGATAAAGGACTCAAAGTCGTAGCAATGTCGAGATTTCCTCATATAAAATGTAGGCTATGATAATTTTATTACACTACTCATGTCCAAAACCACTACACTACGAAGCCCCCCCAAAAGATTACTGCTAGACCTACAATCATCGCGTTTTATTTGTAATAAAAACATCCTTTTGTATGGAGGTTCAGAAAAGAATTTCTGTAAGTTGTAAGATTAGTTATCTAATGTCAATAAACACACTCTAGGTTTTACTTGTCTTTACTCACCTGCCAATGACTGCAATCTTTTTACTGGCCATGATCCTAACCTGACAGGATCAACTGAAGAAGAAAAAAGGACAACCTAGACAGAAATAATGCCGGAGCCAAATTCGGCAGTGCCTATCTTCTCGACTTTCTAGCAAAAGTGAACTGCGAACCGGACGAGATACGAGCCAGCCTCAGTCAAAGCCAAAGATATTAATAAACTAGATATCTAGGGCCTAGGTTGTGTGCGCCCACTGGATGCTGAAACGGGAAGAAGTGCAAAAACTCCAGTTCCGTCGTTATCCCCGCTGAAAGGCAAAAGGCCCCCTTGTTAGCAGTTAAATTAAACAGCTTTTCAAGGCTTGTGACGATTTATAATACTCTTCTTTCCTGCAGCGGCACTAAAGCTTGTAAAGGAAAATTATTATTTAGGCTATTCTCCCTCCTCTTTTTTTTTTTTTCTCCCACTAACGACTAGCGTTTATCATTTACGAGACTAAAACCCTTGAAAAAAGTCACAATTCAACATATTTCATATCATGTCTGTTTATATCAGCTTCCTTTTTTGCATAACATGCATTTAAGAAGACCCCAATAATGTAATCCTTGACTATAATCGTCATCCTTTGGGAAATGCTTGATCTAGGTTTTACGATCGTTGCTTTGGGAGCTTTGTTTGGGGCCCGGATACCGGTCAAAGGTCACTGTACAGACAACGCCCACTTCAGTCTCTCTCTCTCTCTCTCTCTCTCTCTCTCTCTCTCTCTCTCTCTCTCTCTGGTGGTTTCTTACTTAGCCTACTTACGTTATTATTACGGGGCCTATATAATAATAATAATAATAACTATAATAATAACAATTACAATGATATTTATTATTCATATCTATTCAGTGGTCGCGCTAAACAAATTGAGTGTTTCGTCTTTGACATGAAAGCAAGCGGCGGTATAATTTCGAGCTGAATCTATGGTCATTATATTTGACCATGACATGCGTGCTCTAGATCTAGTACATGAATTGTATCTGCTTTTGTTTCACAC